CTCCTTAAATTAATCTATTCTAAGTTTCGTTTCATCTCGAATAAAATTTGATCCGTTAAAAATATTCCATTTCAGTTAATGTAATAAATTTAACTTCGCGAATAATTTAAATCTTTCGTAAAATGAACAAAAATATTCCAAGATTTTCCGAAAAACCTTCCATGAATCTGCAATTATTATACACTCTATGGTAAATTTACTTATCGGTTGCCTTGTTATTGATATAAATAATTTCTGAAATTCTTTTATTTGAAAAAAAAAAAAAAAAGCTTAACAACTTTTGTATCTTTCCGTCTCGGAAGATCTCCAAAAGTCGAATCATCGTTACTTGGCATATTTACTATCAATTCACACTCCGAGTTTTTAAAATTGTATTATCGTAAAATTATAGAAACTAAACGATTTCAAAAATTTACATTTACTTTAAATAATACCAATCAGCCTAATACTTAAACGCACTCTCACAAAAAGTTCTAAAAATCGTCTTCAATCCCTTGGAATAACTAGACTAGAATATACGAATGAAGAGATTAATAATCCAAAATGCAAAACCTCTTAATCTATATTTAAATAAATAAGCCTCGAATAATCGAATTATAATACATCAACTTTCGAAAACTTTAAAATTTTTAAAAACATTGTTATTCAACCTATATCCCACCTACACTCTACAGAAACTTCTAGATAACGTGCAAAGAAACGACTCTATACAACGTCGTGCAAAATATCCTATCTATTCTAACCGAAAAAAAAACCACCAGTCGATCGAAAAAAAAAATCTTTGAACAAAATCTCCTGCACTCCCCCAAAAGAAATTACCTCATCTTCATTCTCCGTTGTCGAGGGATTGGAAAGCAGGATTCTTCGTTAACACAGGAAACCAAAGTGGCCCGATACCAACGGTTTCCGAACCGTTCCCCTCGTTAATCTGTCGCCGGTAGTATCACTGTAACACGGCCCCCGGTTTCCTGCTCGGATATTATCGGATTATTGCGCTCGCGGCCTGTAAAAGTTCGTACCGGTAATCCTTGGCATACTTAGACCGGACAAAGTCGCGAGCTACGTGCTCGCTCTTAATCTCGGTCGAAAAACCTGCCTCGAACAATATGCGCGACACGTGATGCTCGTGTGCGTGTTACGTACGTGTAGTCCGAGCGCACGGTTTCACGCTGTACACGGTTTTGCACGCTTTAAACGCGCGTCTCGCCTTCATCCTTCCCTCCCCCTCCCCCGACCGGAGAGACATTCTTATTCCAGCGCTTCTCTCACGTTCCTGCTTCCTGCGCCAGAAAAATTGGCTAACCTGTTTACTGATGCAACGAAGGAAAGGAAAGGAAGGAAGGAAAAGAAGGGAGAAGAAAAAGAAGCGAGCTGAGTTCTGAAACCCGGAAGCTTTCGAGGAGGAGAAAGATTAAAAATACGAAGCCGTAAAACACATCGTATTCGTCCACGAGAAAGATCAAAAATCGAATTAGAATTCTTCAAATAAAAGTTAAAAATTGGGGAATCGAGAGAAGAGAAAGAAGAATATATTTTTGGTTGGGATGGGGGAGCAAACTGGATCCAGGGAGGGAAGGAGATAGTTGAGAAAGAGATTCGTACCGATTCCGAAACCGCGCGCCAAGACGGGCTAATGCAAACAGGGAGGGAGAGTGATTGCAAATAAAATTATATCGAGCGGCGGGAGGAACAAATAAGAGATGGGATCCGTAAATACGGTTAAAAGGAAAGTCAACAGGGGCGGTTGGCCGGGGGACCAAGCGTTGCGGACGTGCAAACGAGGGCGTAACTGGATCGTGGGGAGGGGAGGGGAGGTGGCAGCGGAAGGAGCAGCGAACTGTGCGAGCCGCGCTCAGATTGGAAAGGTTGGTATGGAGAGAGAAAAAAATTGATAAGAGGGACAAAATTGATGAGAACGAACGCGATGGTATCGATCCATGGAAGGCGAGAAGAAACTAAACCGAATTCAATGGGGGAGGAAAGAGGAGGAAGTGTTTCTAAAGTAAGGGTAAGAGCGATAAGATGGTGGAAGCCGCAGATAACGCCACAGATAGCCGGGTCGAGTCGTTAAACATTGGACGGAAACGAGTCGAGGAACGGTGCAATGGTGCCCTGGCCCTTTATTTACCGTGCTGCTTTCCATGGGACCTTTAAAAGGCACACGCGTGAAAGGAAGAGTGAGGCGAGGAGATGAAGAATGCGTGTGTGTATGCGTGCATCTATGTGTTGTACGTATATATACGCTCATGATGTTTCCTTCCTGTTGAACTTTTCACGTGCCCGAGCCCTGCACCCCTTGAACTGTGCGCTCGTGCGTGCTTTTTCTATCGTCCCCCCATCTCTGTAAGCGTGACACATTTTACATCCACGCCACGACCGGCAAATACGGTCGGAGGGGATGTTAAAAAGACACACATCAGGGCTTTTGATATAAATACGCGCCGCTTGGAAAACATCCACTCGTTGATCGAATGTTTTATAGTGGAATTGGAGGCAGTTGGATCTATTTTCCCGATTTATTTTCTCCGTTTTTATGGATATCGTTTGTCGATAAAAGAAAATTGTAATTTCGAGTGTGGACAAAAATATGTTTAAGCGTGGATGTCGATAAGGTATCGATTGTGGAAAAATTCGAGGAACGAGTTGTGAGTGGAGGTTTGGAGAGAATTTGCAATTTTTCTCACTCACTTTTGACTCGTTTCGTTGCAGTTAGGTAACCGGTAATTGCATTAACGTGTCTCGTTTCGGAAGGAAATAGGATATTTTCACCACTCCTAATAACCAAATGCTAGCGCCGTTTCTGAAAATTGACTCACAAATCCGCTTTCCTTTCTCTCTTCATTCACAAGCACGCAATCTTTGATATTTTTGTTGCAAGTTTATGTAACCAATTCTAACCGATGCGTTATTTCATTTATGCATTATGTAACATGTTGTTTTGATCTTGAACAACGTTCCCTGGCCGAATATATCGTAAAACGTCTCGACGTCTCCGAGATAGATCTTATAAAGTGTATTATAAATCGATACTTTAAATTCCACGTGTCTCAAACCTATTTGAAATTTCGATCGATTGTACACATCCGTGCACAAAAGACGCGCTTAATCGTAAATAAATATCGATTCGAAATGATTGATCGACACAAGAAATAAAAAGATACAGACAATTCCATATTAGATAATTGTAATAAAATATAAAAAAAAAAAAAACGAAAATTCGATCGTAGTTGCAGTGACCGTGCAAAGAAGCGTGTCGAATCGAAAAACGATTCTCTAATTCTCGCGAACGAATTTACGGTAGCTGAGATATCGCAATCATCCGGCGAAACCTTTCGTTCGTGTATTACGAGAAGGAGAAAAATGGATTCCGCCCCGAGCCACGGCCGACACGAGTTTATAATCACGATTACGTCTCGTCGGTCTTACCTCATCGCGGAAGTCGCGATACGAATCTATCTTGCGATTTGTCGCGATTGTCTTCAGATAGGGGGCTTCCTGCACGTTCTGTTGTCGTTTCGTGCTTACGCGTAAGTGAATCAAGGTCATCCGATCTTGATGCGATTAAACGACAGCCCGAAAGATCGAGGCGTTACGATTATCGTTCTCCAGGTCGAGCGATATATTTAACCCCCGACATTATTATGTTAAAGGGATCTTAGAAATCATCGAGTTATCCATCTTAGAAATTTATGTGAAATACATTGGTTAATAATTATTAATTTTACTAATCTATCCTGTGCATCGTTAACGATAGAATAAGTAAACCAGATCCGAGATACGATTTCGCGCGTGATATTACCGCATTAGACTCGTTTGCATCGTGCAATAAGTTCCATAAATAACGAGATTACGAAAAACTTAAGTGCAGAAGGCTGAATCACTAATTAAAATTGCTGGTAATATTTTCTTGGGTAATTTGTATTTACGAGTGGATATTAAAAAAATTCAACGAGTTAACTCGATTTATAACAGACATCGTTTATGCTAGCTACTCTTGGTGTTCTATTTCCCTCGCTATACCTCAACAACGGGTGGAAACTAGGCTCTAAATATAGTTAACCAGCTCCAAAAGGAACAAGCTCTCACCCTATCTTTAACACGGTAGTTTTCCTAAACGTATTTTCCTATAAAATAGAACGATCTTTTTTTTCCTCTCCGAAATCCTATTTCAGATCTCAAGAAAACTGGAATTTTTCGATAACTTTCCTTATCAATGTGCCCGCAAGAAAGCAAGAACAAGTGCTAGGAAAAAAGTAGTACGTCAAGCGACCGCGACACGTCGAAGTCTCGCGTCCTTGCCAATTATATCCCCTCTCGTGGCTCGCGGAGTGGGATCTTCCCCCACCGAAGCCCTCGGTGGCTCCCCCTACTCCTCTCCCCGACTCCCCCTTCGCCCAGAGCGATATGTAAGAGGCCGCACATGTTTCCCCGCGTTCCAGTCTCGCAACGGCACTCGCGAGTGACTGTTCGTGTAAATTTACGAAGCGGTAACCGTTCTGACCAAAAAAAGAAAAACGTTCGCTCACGGAACGAAGGACATTACAGGGGCACTGTGTTGTATATAATATCTATACTTGTCTATATATGTACATAGTATACGCGTGTGCAGTAACGCGCGCGCGCAAAGGACGAGTTCTTTCCTCAGTGCTTCATTCGAGAACTGACACGACACACCGCGAACGTCGTTGCAGCGAGCAACACGACCGAATATCGATAGAAGAAAAAACATAGCGAAGAAAGGAGGAGCAATATCGCAACCGTGACTGCTCCGATCGTTTTCCCTTTCTTCCGAATCTCCGCGTCTTTCTTTTTTTACTTTTATACGTAACGTTTTACGCGTCAACGATACGAGACATAACCTTATTTCACCGGATGAAATACCGGATCGCAGTGAGAATTGATATTACGCGAGTGATAGCTTGTTCCCGTTTTTTGGGGGAGCTACAATCTCTATAAAAAAAGTGTAATAGAAGAAAATATTTCGTGGTCGTACCTTGTAGGAAAACGAAGCACGGTGAGAAAGCAGAAGTGTGGATATTCCGCATTCCGGACAAGGATATTCCGAGGGTGTTGCCGAACTTAGTGATCTTCCACTCACGTCATTTCGTGCTTTCGTACTTTCATTCGAGGGACGAGAATAGTGTTCGCTGATTCGACAAAGACATGTGAGTATCGAACTTTTCTTCTCTGATTCGAGAACACTCTTTGAGTTTTTTGATCGCGTTCACTCCGCGGAACAGTAACTCGCGTGATCTCAGGCCTGTTTTTTTTCCACAACTGTTGTGTACACACGCGTCACACGGTTAAGTAATTTATGCACGAAACCCGTCGCGATGCGAATTCTGTAACGTGTCACGCGATCGAAGCACGTTCGACATCATAACGGTTCAACAACGTCTTTGCCGCGTTTTGTGGCGCAGTAGTCGCGCCAAATTCTGCGATTATCGCAATTCATTCGATATATCGAATCGATTGCTTTCACATAACTTCACTTACGTCGTAATTTCAAATATCGCGTCGCGTCGAGTCAAATATTTTATTTCGAATCGGCGATGTGTCTTTATTGTTTGAATTGATAAAAAAAAAATTGTCACAATAGTGTATATAAAATTGAACAATCGAGAATCGTTTCGAAAGTATGAAACACATATGTTGGTGATATTTTAGTAATACATATAGCATAGTGATACATATATATATAAGTAATGATTTCGTAACAGTCACCGCGATTCATCTTTGGTAATCACGAAGTGATGTTATATAAAAATATTAATATAAAAAAAATTAGAATATTCAATATCGTAAAAAAATTCTGCGATACAAAATAGTTATCTCTAATAATTTACTTAGAAGAATGATTGTTAAATAAATGATAAAATTCTTTAGTAATGCGCAGTGAATCAATAACCTCATAGAAACATTCAATGGCACGTTTTAACAAAACAAAAATAATGGATAGATTTGTGTGTCATAGATTCTTGTTTATATCATAAAGATATGTGATCATGTTATTATGAATTGCGCAAAATTTCGCGAGACAAAATTCTCTTATCTCTTATCCATTAAATCGTTCCTATAAATAAAAATTTAATGGAAACAAGCTTAAAGAAAATGAGCAATATTATTAATATCCTTGAATTTTTTTCACGATGTTACTTACAATACAAATGAATAGAAAAGATTGTGTGATGTCATTTAAAAAATTAAAAGCGTCCTTGACTTCTTTATTAAAGAAAAAGCGTTTCAGCAATGTTTGATCCTGAGAATATGCATTCTCCACTCTTTTTTTTTCTTTTTTTTTTTTTTTTTTTTTTTTTTTACATATTTTTTACAAATGCAAATCGATACACGATGCATTTTATTGATAGTTTGCAATAAAAATATTATCTTAGGATTCTTTATGAACATATTTAGTATTCCAGCATTTATATTGCTTTTCGTTATCAATAGAATGCTGTTTAATATCTATTTTTACTTTCTATTACATTGTTGACAATATTCGAAAAACCATACTAACATTTACGATGAATATCCTATGGCTATAAGTGATTACCGATCGAGTGTGTTAAGTTTTCGCGTTGAAGAAAGGTGTAATAGTGTTAGAATATCGATTCATCGAGACGATTCATCCGTTGGAATGCAGCCTCGTTTAAAAGGTAAATGAAATACCATCGGTTCGACGGATCGATCTGAAAATCGCAACTCGTTGCCAATCGATCCAAGGCGTTTCGCTTTTCTTCAAGGTTGGATCTGGAACGATCGCCATGACTCAGTCCTCCTGGTATTACATCAAACAAACATGCCTATTATGACAAATTACGTTAAAGTCGTAACGCCGTCTGGAACTCTTGCTTTTACTACGGAAATGGCGATTTCCATTCGCGATTTAGGCTTTGTCGTGTGACGCATCGCGTTGAAAGAATTAATTAATTAGGCGGGTGTAATGAATTAATGGGTCAAAACGCAATGTAGGTATTTACGCATTTATTTACGTCAGATTGCTCGGGTTGCTTACGAAAATAGCGCGACAATAATAGCAAGGTCGCAGTCGCTATTCGAGATGGCGTCGACGTTTCGCGTTTGATGAATTAATTGATCAAGATGGTTTAATAAATTATAATGAAATCATGATGCAGATTTTGATTTTATTTACTATGCAAATTTTTATCAACTTATCTTATCTGTATTAATTGATTATATAAGTAATAATTGCTTATATAATAATTTATATATTATTTATAATCGAAAAAAATTTTTGTGTCGTAATAAAATAATTCATAGAGTGAATACTAAAATACTATCTATTTACAGAAAGCGACAGCGTCGCACGAATATACGATCTTTCTCTTACTTTTCTCGCAGTATAAGCAGATTGCAAAATAGTTTCTAATTCTTTAATCATTCGCTTAATTAAAACATCGTTAATTTAAATATCTTTATTCCCTCGTAAACTATTCACGCGTAAAACATTGTACAAATATGAATATTCAACATATGAAAATTACTTAATATAAGTATTTACTATTTTGCATTCAAATATCTTTCCAATATAACGCGATTTGGCAACGCGATTCCTCGTTGGCGTGTTTCTTCCACTGTAATATTTTTATTCGATTAAAAAAATAGAATGGGATTCTTTCTGATTATAAATGCAGAATCGCCGATCAATTAATTCAGATCACAGCTAATTACAGCAACGACGCGGATAATCGGAAGAATTTTATCGGCAAGAATTTCCTATATTTCACGGGACGTAGCGTCATTTCGAAGCGCTTTTCCTCTACGCAGTTCGAATTTTTTCGCGATTCGAGTCACGCGAGTCGAGGAAAACGGAATTCAATAGTTCCATTCGACGACAAAGAGAGGGAATAGAGAGGAGGATAGAACCAGATCGTCCTTCTTCCTCTCTCTCTCTCTCTCTCTCTCTCTCTCTCTCTCTCTCTCTCTCTCTCTCCTCTCTTCGTCCGTCCTCTCTCTTCCTCCCTCTTTGGAATGGCACGAGGCAAACGAATTATCCAACTCGTGCCGTCCATCGAAATCGGATTATCGTCAATTCCTCTGCACTCAACCCCGCCCATCCAACACCCACACAGTGTGTATCGATTTTCGACGCTCTGTATACAAGCAACTTATTTCATCCCCGCGTCGTAAACATTTCGGCCCTAAGCATTCGTCGCGCGGATTAATCACGGTTTAATTGGAAAATCTCGCTCGGCAAATAAAGCTTTTGAGGCCCGTGCAAACATGTCAGCCCAGGGGCCGGTCAACGAAACCCTCGTTTGCGTCAGCGTGGGTGGAGGCCACCGTTTGAATATTTCCGCTAACCTTTTCAAAAGAAAATGTCCCGGTTAAAGGTTAAGAGTCAGATTTAATTACGGAACGATGTATAAACGAATCTTGATATTTTTACATTTTTCGTTGTAATTTTCGATATTTTCCTATCCATTTCTATTTTTTATTTTTCTCTTTAAATTTTTCAATCTTTAAGAATTAAAAGTTTATCAGATCCTATTTGCTTCTTTTTTATTCATGTTTATTTTAGACAGAAAAATTTGTTTTTATTATTTTATTTATATACTAATTACGTTATGAATACGTCTGAAAAGCTTGCGTGCTCGCAATTAATCAAACTAATAATAATAATAATAATAATCTAATAAGAACTTTGCACGAATCATTATACTTTTGCGTCAATCAAAGAATCTTCGTAATTCTTATAATATATATCGCATCGATGTATCGACACGAGTTCCAGAGCGGAATCGGGGACGATGAAAAATCGTCCGTTGGTAATTAAAGAGTGCGGTCGAAAGTTTCTCGGTTCGTGTACTCGGCCGAAAATTAATATGCCGATATCGAAGGCAAAGTATTCGCGCGGGCGATAAATTCCAACCACCACGTTTCTCCGTGGTCGCGGGGAAGGCGAGATTAATCGTAGTCACTATGAAAGGAAAAAAAAAAAAAAAAAAAAAGAAGAAAAAGAATCGAGAGTTTTGGCGAGGGATGCGCATGAAACGTGGACGATGGATGGGTTTAATTCGATGGGTGAAATCAATCGTGTTCTTCGTCTCCTCGTAATTAGTATTCTCTTTTAATTATCACGTGATTTATGTGTCTTACGGATCCTTTGCATTATCATCGTGATTGAATTGAAAATTACGAGAGGATAATGTACGTTTCATATCGTGATTTAGCCGTGACGAGTAACTTTGGAAATTTTTTTAAGTTATTGATCGAGTGTCTGAAATAGGGGATGATTTTAAATACGAAAATTTGGGATTATGATTAAGGGGACTAAATTTTGTTTCTTTCTGAATTCTGATTGACTTCTTAAACTTTCAACAAGTAAATAATTCAACAAGTAAATAAATTATCACAGAAATTTACCAATTTACATTTTTTTACGAAATCGCATTCCGAACGAACTATCTCAACGATATAATGTAAATTCAATTATAACCTTTTTCTTTCCCGTGTAAGAAGAGCGTATAAAAAATTGTGCTTCGAGAGTAGAGGGAAACGAAAAGGGGGACGATGTTACAATTCATCCACCCCCTTGATCAAAATAAATTTTCCTGCCACATTCGGCCTTTACTGGGCCATCGAGCAACGCGCGTAGGCACGTTTTACGAGGACGAAAGTCGAATTTTCATCGCCTCTCTCGCGTAACGTTTATCCCTTTTCGACGAAACAGGGTTTAGAAACAGGCTGTTAATCCTCTTCTCTCTCTTTCTCTCTCTCTCTCTCTCTCTCTCTCTCTCTCTCTCTCCCGTAAAAGGATCTCGAACCTTCGCTTCGTTTTACAGAGTTTGCGATAAATGCTATTGGCCTTGTAAATCAGCGTCCGCTTTTACACGAGCCGGGGAATCGAGCTTCTATTTCCACGGTCCAATGCAATTTCTCACGTTTTTTATACGATCGCAAAAAGCATCTGAATCTTTGTAAGGAGGAAACTGATTCTCCATGCAACCCGCATTAATTATTCTGTACGTATTTCAATGCTTCGAGGGAACGTGAAACAAAATATTGGAGGGGGAATAATACGATGGATCGTTGCAAGGCTATTTTTTTTTTTTTTTTTTTTCATTTTCAAATAGATCGGATTCGTAGAAAGATTGAATTATTTTTGTTCTCCTTCGATAGTACATTCTTAAATAGAAATTAT